AAACCAGTTAGTGTTAGTACCCGGCCTGCTTGACCCCCGGTTCTGCACGACACAGCTAGCATAGGCCTTTAAAACTTCCTGTAGCTCCTTTGCTAGCGATGTAAACACCAACACTTCCCCTGTGCTCCAAGAGCCCAATTAGATCAATTTAATTAGGGACAAGAACGATAAGGGTATACCATCTGTGCTGTCTTGTAGCTGTTAAATACATTTTAAACATAACTCCAATGAAGCTGAAGTTAGCAGACCTAAATAAAATAGGTCACAATGAGTGACAGATGAAAAAAGAGCAGAAATAGGCACTGAGGAACAGAGGTGAAAAATAGGAAAGTAGCGCTGAATTGAAGTGAGAATTTGACAAAGTAGAAGAGCAAGACAGAGAGGTGCTGAGTGATATGCCAGCTGGACTGTGTGTGCCAGCTCATAGTGTGAGAGCTACTGATATGTGAGCTCCACAGGCCAAGGAAACACCACCACCACCATCAAATGTAGCCGGCATAACAATGATCTCACTGAATATCTATTCAGTCTTCTACGCACTTGACACAAATGGATGACGCAAACCGGTCAGGAGTTTTTATTCCACTAGATGTGATGTCATTATATTCTTGAAAAATGCATTTGTCATCCAGCTCTAAAGATCATTAGAACAACTATTATGTGTATCCTTTGACAAAAATTAAAAAAACACCTCTCAATTGAATCTGAGGTTTGGATATAATTAACTACGGTTTCATGGACTGCTAAACAATGCAACTGCATGTTTAAACTAAATACAAAAGACTATCATATGTTGACTATATTTAAAAATGGATTTCTACATTTCAAAAGTGAGCTTAATATGTGTCAGGAAGTTCTGTTATCTCATTCCAAATGCATGTTCTCTTTCATTCTTGTTGACGACATGAATTCATAAAAGCCATTACTACAATAATAAACTACTAGTTCACTAAAATATGTTGTGTAGTATGCCTTTACAGCAAACAAGGACATACAGGGCTTAATGTGACAGGGCTCTGGGATCTACTTATCTTGGAGTTATTTACTGTGGCACAGAGAAGAGTTGAGCTAAAAAAAAAGACTAAAGCTTCACTGACAAATGCTATTCTTATCTCTGCAAGGCAGAGGTGATAAGATACCCTGGGAAATACTAGACAATCCCTTCAAATCCACCATGCAAGACATCTTAGTGATTCCCTTCTAAGTGCTCTGCAGCATGGAGAGCACTGCATCTTCAAACTAAGCTGTTAGTTTACTGAATATCATGCTCCAAATTATTTGTGCACTGAAAAGGGGAGCAATATACTAAGAGTTTGAGACACGATAAAGATATGTCTGAATGAATGCTAATAGAACAACCAACACAAATTACTTTTGCAAGTTTAAACTGTGGTCATAACATCAAAAAGCATGAACTTGGGCTAATACCATAGCTTCAACACACAGCCGTTTCAAATGCTCAGATCGATGATACAACTGTCTTAAACATGACTTTGCCCAGGCTTTGGGGAATTTCCCCATGTTTCTTGGCTTAAATTAGACACAATGTATCCCAATAGATGCACCAGGTGCCAACATCACGACTTACTCGGCTCAGTAAACACCAACAATCAACATCCAAAGGTTCAGCGGTGCAGCTACAGCAAAGGCAGGTGTCACTTCTCTCCTCCGCCAAGTCTCTACTTACATACACAAGCTAATTCAAGTATCTCACAGTGCAGGTCTGCAGAAATGGAAGACAAGTTTACTGCCTGATGATCAAAACAAACTCTTGTGTCTATAATTGTTTGTGAGCATTCACTGACAGGGATAATGTTTCAAGGAATCAAATAATAGACAAGGTGTCAAGAATGCCATTTGAGGACCTGTTTGGGGTCCACATTAACTTGTTTAAAAGAAAATGTGATTGAAGCTTCCTGTTGAAGAAAGAGTCATTCCGTTAGGGTTGTGATTACCTTCACCGAGGTCCATGATGGCCAGTACAGCGCTGCAGCTTGCCTCTCCCAGCTCGTTGGTTGCCATGCAGGTATACAGGCCAGCGTCGCTCACGCGGCAGTCCCGTATCCACAGCCCGCCTGCATCCTGGGCCTCTGATGGAGGGAGCGGCTCATTGTTGTGGTACCAGGTGAGAGTAGCTTTTGGAAATCCCCCCACGGACACCCTCAGTCGGATATCACAGCTTGTTCCTACTGCTGCTTTACGGAGTTTGCGGGTGAAAAATGGTGCTGTGGGTTCTGATGAACCAGTATCCGGAACAATCTTGTCTTTGGTGATTTTGGGCCTCTTAGATGGGACGCCGGGACTGGATCCTGGACCATCAGCCATCTTGATTTCTTTTAGACTTCTTTAACCTTTTCTGGTAACTGATTTCGATGTGCTGCAGTTATTCTCTGCCTCTTCTGAACGTCTCCATTGCTGCAGATGTTTGAGCTGGGCTGTTACACTGAGTACTGTAATGACCAGAACACATCAGAATTAGATTCAAAATAAGTTTGAGTATATGAAACAGTTTGACTACATACACTTCTTGTTTGTTTGTGTGCTTATCAGATACAAAATGACATCATTGGTGGATTTTTCAATTGGATTAAAAACACACATTTTGACATTCTTGTGACAAATATTTTACAGTGACAGAATAATAACTTCATAATAAACAAATGACAGCATTGGAGTGCAAAAAGCTTACTGAATTGCTACCTGAAAAAAGTACTACTACATCATGTATTATATTGTGAAATCACCTGGGTATTACAGTTTTGGTTTTCGGTCAAGATGTGTTTTCCAAAGCCTGACAAACTGGGAAAATGAAAGTGTTAAAATAAAATAGGTGGGGTGGCCTAACTAGAGCTATCCAGTTGCATTATGGGAAATGTCGGATCGTTTTTTGGAGTTTGGTCCATACTGAGGGAAAAAAGTCAAGATGTCTCTCTTTATCTGTCTCTTGCAATGTCATGAAAACTTTGAAAGTGTACTATATTTTTGTAAATGTGTCATTTGAGTTCATAGAAATGCCATTATCAAATAATACATTTTTCGTTTTTGGATTTGCTCCAAATGTTATTTCATGGGTTTGCACTAATAAGCTGATCCAAAGCATTTCTTAAAATAAACTTAGCCCGATATTAGAAAATACATGCATCTTACCTCACCCATTAAAGCCAAAAGGAATCCATCTGGACATCCCCGCAAAGTCCAAGGTAAAGTAACAAGATCCATGGAGTGAAGTATTTCATCTCAAACCATTTGCTAAAGCCTGTGTCGCTACGTGTCCTTTAGCGAGCACTGGCTGGAGGTGTAAGTCCGCCCTAGATCATGTAGCATTAGCAGCCACTGCCTTGGTACCTTTCAACAGCTTCAACCCACGGTGAAGAGAGGTGGGACACAGAGAGAGAGAGACCTTTTTTCCCAAATGTCAAAGCACTCAGGCCCTCTGCTTTAGTGTGTTTTACCTACCTTTGAATTCTTACATTTTTTAAACCTTTTTAGGCCTCTTAGTTCTTAAATCAGTTCATGTTATCTGTCTCCCTCTCTCCCATCTCACTGTTTCACCCCCAACTCGCTCAGGTTGGGAACGACAGCTGCACCACAGATAGGTCACATTTCTTGGGCTGCCAAGTATGACCTACACACACACAGGCACGCACGCAAGCTCCCACACTCCAACCCTTTTAGATAATGTTATCTACCAATATATGTGAGAGCGTGCGAGCCTGTGTGTGTGTGTGTGTGTGTGTGTGTGTGTGTGTGTGTGTGTGTGTGTGTGTGTGTGTGTGTGTGTGTGTGTGTGTGTGTGTGTGTGTGTGTGTGTGTGTGTTTGAGAGAGACAGGCAGAGACAGCATGCGAGTGACAGTTGCTATATAAAGAAAGTCTAAGAATAAAGACAGGACAGTGATTCATACAACTGTAGGGCAGTGATATAACACTACAAGGCAGTATAAGTGGTTGGAACAGTTGTAGTAGACACAATAGAATAACATGAGTCATACATTTATTCACCTGAAGCCAATTTGTAGTGTTCTTATCAAATCATTTGTTAAATCCTTCCCCTTTTTTATACTCAGGCTTTTGACAAATCTATCCTCTTGAACAACAAATAAAGTGTCAAAAGCATCAGCATAAAATCACTATATATCCCATTTATCTGTCAATATCTGATGAAGCGATTGTGATTTGTCCTTCAAAAATAGTTGTATGCCTGCAAGAAGATATCATAACATTACATAACGTGTCTCTTTCGTCCTTTGTGTTATCCAAGGTTCAGTCACTCATGATATTGCATGTTTACTCGAAATATGCTCCTGTGCAATTTTAGCACTTCAGCAATCGAGTAATCTAATAAATGAACCACTGCAGGAAAAATAAGGCAATATATTTAGGTTTGAGCAAATTAAATATCGTTAACATATCCTCATTCCAATTAAAACCTTTCCTGTTAACACATTGCTGTATCAGGCTTCTTAAAATACCTGATAATTCTGTCTTTCAGTTTGTATGATCTGACTAATCGAAATATTGCTTAGCTAATGAAAATAAAAATACTAGTTTGAGAAGAGTGTGCTGCAGATACAAATGTTTGTCACAAATGCTCACATTTAAAAGGAGGGAGTGTTAACAACAATTATACCAAAAGACAGTTTGGCTTTAAGCATGATTACAGATATTCTGCTTGAATATATAAAATATGGCAGATGCTATTTAAACCCGGGCTACACATTAGATACTGTACGACCTATCTGCAGTGCTGGGAGAAATACTTAGATCCTTTACATAAGTAAAAGTACATATACTATGGTCTTAAAGTACAACAGTTATAGCATGTACTTCAAGTATTAAAAGTATGCAGAATGGATCTTTTCACAGTTTTATATATCATGGTTGTTATATTATCCTGTTTTTATACATGTAAGAGCACTTTAGTGTTGTAGTTTGTCAATGTGGACCAAATGTAGTTACTAGAAATACTGTGTAGATTATTAGTAGTAGGCTACTGTACTGCATTAAACCATATGAGCATATGATGTGTTTCAAAGTAACTATGAGTGTTAAAATAAATGTAGTGGAGTAAAAAGAACAATATGCCTCTGAAATGCAGTGGTTCAAGGTTCAAGGTTCTTTATTGTCAATCTGACATAGCTACAGAGTAATTATGTAGTTGAAAATCTTATGTCACAGGCTTCACAGGTGTAGCATAAAGTAGCATTAAATGGAACCACTATTGTAAATAGTACTTACTTTTCACTGCCTACTGTACCTGTTTTTTAATCGAGGTAAAGGTACGCGTAATTTGTCGATCTATCCACTTTACGCATGCGTCAGCGTTGCATGAATCTTCCATACATTGACTTGTATCCCTTTTTAATCCACAGTTTTGCTGCAGAATTACTAGATTATAGTTTACTACGTTGTTTACATGTGATGCGTTCAATGAGCCTCTCTGCAGGGAAAGAGTCACTCTGGAGGTAACACCCCGGAAGTCCTCGTGCAGCAGGCAGCATGGCGCGGTGTGGAATAACTTGTTGACATTTTACCTTCACTACAAACAGCCTGCGCATTCTGCTATCCCGTCAACATTGGTAAGTAAATACTGTTTGTAGACAGTGTTGTTATTTAACGCGTGGGTCAGGTTTACTAGCTCAGAGCTAACGGGTAGTTGTTTCTACAACAAGTCCTCTCCTGTCAGACTGAGGCTCTGATGACGTCAGCTCAGGTGAGCTAAATGACTCTCTCTGTTTTTAGACGGTTCACTTTAGTCTCAGTTATCTCAGTGCAGGGCCGAATTCACCATATACATTGGGGGGGACACATCCCCCCCAATATTCAGATACACTGAATAAATAGCAAATAGCAAAAATAACAAAAACATATATCTTTTTTTAATTAAAATAGCTATTTATATAGCTATTCTATGACTTTTTTATTTTGGCTATTTGTATACTTGAAAATCTTTATTTTCTGTTATTGTGAACTTCACCAAAATGATATATTCTTTTCATATGTAAATTGGTTCCGCCTTGTTTGTTTATGCATACCTTTATTTTGTACTCGGGGGTGTATTTCGCTGTCGCACGTCTGAGTCCAGCTTCAGTTAGCTTGATGCTCCAAGCAGGTTAGTCATGTTTTAATTTGCCCTCCATCAGTTCTGGTATCTTTTCTAGTTAGCCCTAAAGTAATCTATATTATTTTATTTCGTAATGGTAATGTTAATGAACCCTCCGGTTTAGCTTCTTTGTGTAAGTAACTTGTAGTTCTGATGTTAAAACCGAACTTTTCAGGAATAGTAGCTAACTAGCTGTGGGCTAGCTGGTTTCAGTTGCTAGTCAGGGTTTGGCGGGCTAGTGTCAGCTATGTAGAAAATGACGGTGTCGTTTTGGATGTAATCCAATACATATTTATTCATGTGGATTATTTCTATTTTATTTTGTCATTTGTAGAGTGTGGAAAGATTTTAAACTGATGTGTGACATGTTAGAAATTAAAATCAATGTTTAATAGCATAATTTAGTCTAAAACATACCGTCAGTTTAAAAGCTGTTTTATTCTGAAAAACCCGGAAGTTCTCATAAAATCTCAATGCAAGTTTTGTTCACATGCGTGGGGAGCTATGACGTCAGAAGAAGTTACCGTAAATGAGAACTGTCGTAAAGTGCTTCTAGGATTTCTAAACTAACTATTACAGCTGTTATAAAGCATTAAATAAAAAGTCATGAAAGAGATAAGGAGGAGAAAAGGCTTATGGAAGTAAGCAATGAATACAAAATGTCGAAATCCTCTGTTTCACGCGATGTCGAACATTGAAGACAGTGGAGGGCGGTCCCCCAATCTACACAGCGGGAGAGAACCAGAGGAGTATAAAGGAGATCGCGGAAGGCATCACGGGGTGTTTCTCAATCGCGAGTACGCTTGCTTGGTAGCACATGTCTGCCGAGCATCTTGCTTCAGAAGCGAGTCAAGAATACTTCCTGGCATTCGGAAAACACAGGGTGTTTCTCAATCGCGAGTAAAGCTGCTCCAGAGCCACTATTTCAAGCATACTACGTCATCGAGTGCCGCCGAAGTACTATTCCAATCTCCAGCATACTTGGAAATCTACCGAGCCCGGCGTACTCCGTTTGGAGAAATATCGAGGCTGCACATGAGTAGACTCCGCGGTCTTAAAATCCCCACAATGCTTTGCGCACGGACCAATTTCCCCAAATCTGTGACGGAAAATGTAAGGCGGGGCCTCTCATATGACGCACACCTGCACACTTGCTAGCCTGTTCCACTCTTTGTTTTCCGAATGCAAGGAAGTATTCTTGCCTCGCTTCTGAAGCAAGATGCTCGGCAGACATGTGCTACCAAGCAAGCGTACTCGCGATTGAGAAACACCCGAAGAGTGGAACAGGCTAGCAGGTGTGCAGGTGTGCGTCATATGAGAGGCCCCGCCTTACATCTTCCGCCTCGAACCTGCAACCTCTGGCCTACAAACCACCCTTCTATCTCCTTGAGCTATCAGACCTGATGACAGTTCTCTGCCTTTACTTGTATTTGACTTCTTCATCAAGGGAAAGACACCTTCAAACTCTGCATGGCACAAGACTCAAACTCCTGGGAGCTTTAAACTCAGTGGACCACACAAGGTTTGAACTCACGTACTCTGGTCTCCAAGACAGGTTCTTATCACGGTGAGCCATCCGACCTGACACAGTTAGATGTTCCCTGGCCTATCTGTGATTTTCACCTCAGGTTTGGACCTTAAAATATACAGCTCAAGCACCTCTTATTTGACCTGAGACATTATTGTTTCGTAGAGCTTATGTGTTGTTCATTTGGGTTTGTGGACCTGAAAGATGACTGCACCTGAAGAGCCTTGAACCGACAACCTTCGGTCTCAGAGGCAGTCTTCTAACTCTCTGAGCCATTTGACCTGACACAGTATGGGAAGGTTTTGAAGTGGTTTTGCCTCTTTATTTGGGATGATGGACTTTAAGAAACAATGCACCTCACAAGGATCGAACTAACAAACGTTAGGTTTCGGGGCAATGTTGTATCTCTCTGAGCCATTTGTTCTGGCTCTTGTCCTTTTAATTTTCTAATCTAATTCTTCACTTTGGTTGTTGGCTTTCAAAAATCACTGCACCTTAAGAGGATCGAACTTAAGACTTTAGGGTTGCTGAGCGGTTGTGTATCTCTTTGAGCTATTTGATCGGAGCATCTGGTGTCTGGTTTGGTCAACTAACCAATACTTCACTTTGGTTGAAAGATTGCAAAATATCACTGCTCATAAAGCCTAAGCCTAAACTTCAGCTTTCTACAATGGTCCTCTGTTTGAATCTGTTGTCTGTATTTCATGTACTGCTTCAGACTGAGGTTAGGACCGCCCACCTCATTAGCATATGGACACATAAATAAATAAATAAATGTGCTAAGTGAGCTAAACGACCTGAGCACTCTGTCAGTTTTCTTGTAGAGAGTTTCTCTTGGTAGGGGTTGTGAAACAAAGTCAATGTGAAGAAAGTTATAGTATGTAACGGAAATGCACCACCACCAGATGTTAATGTAAAACTGTTCTCTTTGCTTATATGAATTCATTATATTGGGTGCTAATACAATACAGGCGTGCGTGAAAAATGCACAGTAGGCAACAAAGTGAAACAACGGTCACCTAAGCATATAATGGCTGTAATTATGTTTAATGTCTTCTTTCACAGCTTTTCATAAACATATCTTATAAGCTAGTATATGGACAGTGGCAATACATTTAATTGTAATAAGCGAATGATAGAAACAAGATTACAAACCATCTCCAAAATTAAATAATCACTAACTTACACACTCTCAAAATGAATTAGGATCTACTTTAACATCATCAGGCTAAACTAAATTAACATTACAACTATGTAAACGTTGTTTTTGAAATATATAAAGGCAACATTTTGCATTTTTTAACCTTTATATAGTGTATGTATATGTGATTTTTTTTCCTGTGGGCATTTCTCAGTTCAAGCCGAGCACCTTGATCCACTGAGACTCTGAGAGAAAGTGCCACCACACGTTCAGCTGAGTTAATGGATGAGTGAACTTGAAGGACCCGGCCACGCTTCAAATCACACTGAATTTATCCTGCTTTTCGCTGCTTTGACTTTGAGGAGCTGTTGCTGTGGCAACAAGTCCTCCAGCCAAAGAAGATTGCAGTTTATATCAAATTAAACAACAAAAACAGAAGAAACTAAAATCGCCCCTTTAATCCTTGTAAAGTATGCAGTTATTTGAACAAATAAACAGTGCTTTTATTTGTAATTTACCCTCGAGTGGAACAGCAGAAAGCATACAAAATTACAGACATCCCACATTATCTGAAGGAACCCACTCACTGCCATGATCTGTGCTGTTTTGGCCAAAAAACATGAACTGTCAAAAAACACACACTGTTGTAGTACTTTGTCGCCCTCTTGTGGTGAAGACAGGTAATGGTACGATTAAACATTACACACTGACAATGACCAGAAGCAGCTACAAAAATAATACATAATTTAAACACGTCGAGATTCACTTTTAGTAGCTTACACTGATCCATAGAGAAAAGTATTACAAAAGGTATAAAATGTTTTCTTATTTAAAGCATTAATGGTATTTTCCCCTGTTATTCGCCTCTATATAAAAACAGTTAGACAATAAGAACTAAACAAACAACCACATTAAATTAAGCTAATTTGTAAGCTTCAGATGTGCTCATATATTAAGCACTTTTGAAGATAGCAGTAACTTATCATATAGTTAGCTAAGTGGCTAATGTTAGCTAACAGTAGCCACATTTAGATATTTTGCTGAGTTTGCTAACTTTGGTAAACCTGTGCTGCTGTCAGACTAGCGTCCCTTTCCTCGACGCTCGATCCTCGGTCCTCGATGTGCATTTAGAGAAATGAGATGTCCTTCAACATGGCGCGCTGAAATTCATTTCCGGGTCACTACCGGAGGACCGAGGAGTCGAGGAGGGGAAATCTTTGAAATGAGATACGGCCCTGATGTCATTTTCTTTCTAACAATTCCACAAAATGCTATTAAAACATTAGAATAGCAAGCATACCCAACTCTAAAGACAATTTGTTAGTTCAATATAAGGCTTGTAGTAACACCTGGTCTTTGTCCCGATTAAAAAATGTTGAACAAAAACAGTTTAAAACGTTTTCTCTGAGACCGATTCATAGCTCCAAGGCCGGGCAGATAAAGAGGGGCAGATGCAGGTTTCCCTAACAGTACACAAATACTTGTGACCATAACCAGGTGTGTGTTAGATATGAGCGCTATGATAAGTCAGAATTTGCAAAGCTGACACTTCTGCATCCTAAAAAGTTTGCTCTACAGCTAATACTTACCAGGAGGTCAATCTATGGAAGAACATGCATACTAAATACAGTGAGGCATATTTACTAATTCCTAAATCCAGCTCTGGTGACTTGACACTAACTGCACAGTGTAATGTTAAAGGGCCCATGTCATGGCCATTTTTACTGATCATCATTTTTGACTCTGCAGACCGTTTACATGCATAAAAACCTTCATAACAAGGGGACGGGTAATAACCCGAAAAGCATGACATGGGCCCTTCAAAACGATCCCTCTGTGCATTACATTAATAATTAACAATTTGGCATTTAATAACGCTGCAGGACACAAAGAAAGAAAATAAAAACAAGCAGAATGGAATGTCCTCTGATACTGTGTGAAACAGATAATGCAACATCCCACCCGTCAAGGCCACTCTTTGCAATCTGCCATTTGTGTGTTGGCAACAGAATGCTTTGCTTGCAGACTTCCCTCAGACACAGATATCTGCAGAGACAAACAAATGTGTGAGAATCAGGAAAGTTACAGAGGAGAATCGGTTTTCTGGAGCTAATTGGACCATAAATCAGACTTTTTTGCACCTTTCTCATACAGTGCAGTCATGGTGTCCTGTGCTCTTTTCATCCTCGGCCCTCTGTGGATCCACATTCTGGGACATGCATGCAGCGGAGAGGATTTGTCCCGGGAAGAGGTGTTGTCCTGGGTCAGAGTGCGGGTCCTGGAGGGCCTCAGGCTGGAGGAGCCTCCTTTAACCCCAGTGCAGGCTCCAGATAGGGACCCCGCACCTCAAAGGGCCCCCAGGGCGAGCAGGACAACGTGGGTCAAGCAACAAAGCAGTCCGACTCGGGAAACATCTGAAATGATTGTCTTCCCAAGTTCTGGTGAGAAATATGCAGTTTTTTTTTTAACAAGAATAACGCTCCTAAAACTTTTAACACCTTATTTATGTACTTGCACTCGCCAAAATTCCCTCATTTCGTTTTGTGCCCATTTGTAATTGTTTTGTGTCAAGTTGTAGTCATTTTGAGTCTCGTTATAGTTCCTTCGTGTCTTTTCTTGGGAGTATCTCCTCACAGTTTTTGTGCGTGTGTCTTTTTCTGCATCTCTTTCTAGATGTGTATGTCTCTTTGGAGATGTTTAATGTTACTTTTTGGTTAAATTCAATCTCTTTCTGGTTGGTACGTGTCTATTTTGAGTGTCATTTCGTAGCAGTGGAGGTCAGTAAAAAAAGGTCTTAGGTTATGACCTCCTGTTTGTGAGGGATTTTTAGGCAACAAAGGCGAAATTGCCCCAATAAAAAGCTGTAAAACGTCCCTGACTGCCGTCTTATCTCTTTTGCAGACTCATCCTGTGCCAGATCTGACTCTGCAGAAACCGCCAGTAGCCACTTCACATATTACTTCCAGCCCTCCATGAACAGCCAGGAGACTTCAGTCACGTCTGCCCACTTCTGGTTCTACGCAGGCGAAGGAGCAGCCAACTCCTCCGCCCAGCTGTTCATGGTGACTTCAGCTCAGCAGCTCCAGCAGGCGGCGGAGGCTCCTTCAAAGACGAGCTCAGACGGGTGGACGACCTTTGACCTGGAGCAAAACCCTCTGGCCTCTGTGGCTGAGGGCCCCTTCCTGCTTCAGGTCCGCTGTCCAGCCTGTCAGTGCAGCAGCAGTGAACCAGACCACACCCCCTTCCTCCACCTCCACGTTCAGCCTCGAGGTCCTGCCCGCTCCCCCCGCAGTGTCACCACCATCCCCTGGTCTCCTGCTGCTGTGGAGCTGCTCCAGAGACCCTCTGAGGAGCGACTCGGCGACTGCACCAGAGTGGAGGTCCAGATCAGCTTCGAGGAGCTGGGCTGGGACAGCTGGATCGTGCACCCCAAGGCGCTCACTTTCTACTACTGCCAGGGGAACTGCTCAGCCGAGGGTCGGACCGCCACCATGCTGGGGATCAAACAGTGTTGCGCCCCGGTGCCGGGGACCATGAGGTCCCTGAGGATCACCACAACATCCGACGGAGGGTACACGTTCAATTATGAGACCCTGCCCAACATCATGCCTGAAGAGTGTACTTGTATGTGACATCTTAAAAGGCCAGTTTACCCAAATAACAAAAAAGGATATTTCCTGTTTTCTACAGTCTTTGAAAGATAATGAAACTGCTATCTAAGATTGAATCTACTTTCTACCAAAAATTTAAAAAAAGGTCCCTGGGGATACATGTTACTGAATAAATCTTCATATACCATTTAAAGAGATTGTTATTTTGGGTTATCGGACCATTTAGAGTTTTCCTTTTGAATGCCGTATTTTACAAACGAGTGTTATTAGCATTTTTCTTGTGCATTATTTGTATTTAGCCACAATCTAAAATACCTTAAGGCCAACATTATATTGCTTTTTTATTGTGTTCTGATACGACCTTTAGAGGGCAGTATCGGCCTATTTTTAATATCATATCCAGTCTGACTTCTGTTGTATATTATTATTAATAAATCATTGATTTAACCATGTTGTGTTCTGCTTATACCACAAGTTAAAATGTTTAAGCTCCTGATGCATATACACAACTTTACCACAGAAAGAGTGCAAAAGCCCAAAGCATAACGTTCAAATATATTTATTTCATTTATTTACTCTGAAGACAAAATAATCTCTACAGTTACAAAAACTACAACATTTGCAATAGAAAAAAAATAAAGTATAAACCATTGGAGAAAGGTTCAAAAATGGAATGTCGTACCTTGCCAAAAAGTAGCAAAATCGGAAGTGAGATGATTACAAAAATACAGCATTAAACATCTCTTTGGCAAGATTCATTATTCCAGCCAAAGATCATAAAACCAGCTGACAGGCTAAAGTCCAAACTGAACAGTATTGATCAAAAGTCTCACGATGAGTTTACTCTGGGTTGTGGTTTTTTCCAGGGTACATAAAAGCATCCATGTTTCAGCACAAACAGAGGGGTGGTGGTGCATGTCAAGCACGGAAAATATGTCTCACCAGAGAAGAATGTACATTTCAAAAGACAAGGATAGAAAATTATTGTTGATGGTAGCCCAGAAGACAGATGTTTCCAGCTGGTTAGCAAAAGAAAACCCACGTAATATTCTTCACATTTCTGCATTTAAGGACGATTTGTTTTTCTGATACTGTGGTACATCATTTAGGGAAGAAACGGAGTTACTAAATATCCAAGAATTAAGTGGCATTCATGATACCAACACTTCTAAACAAAAACAAGGTAAATATTCTACAGCTTTGGTCAGGAAATAGTACTGAAAATAAGTTCTGGTAAAATAAATGGAGTGTTTTAAATGAATTGGTTGTACAAAAAAAAATATTCTAGGAAATTCCATGGAACATTTCCTGTCGATAAAGAATTCAAGCATTTCCCAGGTAAACATTTTGGCCAATTGGAGTAAATATACAGGCTTCAAAATTAATCAAATATTTCTGAAATAGTGTGACTTGTGTATAATAAACACCGATAATCCCTAACATCACATCTGTTTAAATTGAACATGACTTGGCAGGTTAAGCCGCCCTCGTTGCACGGAAACGCTGCTGCACACGCTCCAGAAACGACATGTGGTTGGAAAGAAATCTCGGAGGCCAACAAGTCTCGACAAAGTGAGACGTTAACATCTGACATTTTACAGAAAGAGAGCCTCTCTTTTGTGTGGACGACAACTAAATAAAGTACACTTGCCCAGATGAGTTGAAAGCTTCTGATAATCCTTATACGAGTTCTGAACTGGATGAAGATTATTGCAAAGGCCACAAAAACAGAGTGGGCGAGAGACCGGGGTGCAGACAAAGCGCAGGCCGAAGGCACAGTGAAGATTTGGACGTAGGTCAGCGAGCAGAAACTGGAGATGTGGCAGGCTTTCAAGTTTAGAGTCGTGGAGATGAACCATTTGTCACAACACAGCTTGGTCAGCATTTTCTTTTCTTTCCGTCTGACCCCTAATACTGAAAGGCATCATTTCTCTCATCCACACACACACAGACACACACACACGATTTGGTCTCCCTCAGTGGTCTGACTGCACTCCCATATGTGCATCCCCATGTGTTTAAGGCCAGTAGGAATGTAAGAACAGACGTTTGAGGCAGGAAGCACACTCAGGCATGTATTCCTAGGAGAAGAGCAAAAAAAAAAATTGGGAATATTTAGCATGAATGTTCACTGAAAAAAAAGCTGTGCTGACTTGCGGTCAGGCCTTTTATGACAGCAGTAAATTAGATTGATCGATTATACAGATTCTTGGTTCTAAAGAAATATTTTTCAGATCTTTTAAATCATAAAAAAGTAGTGAATCTTAAGTAAGGAGTTTCCACGGGACCTTTCTCGCTGGCCTCCCCCTGCTTCTCCTGGGCGAAGTTGAGGCGGTTCTGCTCGGCGGCGGTCTGTGTGGCCGTGTGGACCTCGGGGCTGCTGCTGCGGGAGGGGGTCCCCTCGTCCACCTGGTAGGCCAGGTCCAGGTGCTGCTGGGCCAGCTTCAGGTGTCGCCGCAGCCTCTCCAGCTCTCTGGACGACTGCACCTCGTCCCCGAAGCTCTCCCGCCCGGAGTCCACCACCGGGGAGTCCCTCAACTCTCCTTTCAGATCTCCTTTCCTCTTCTCCTTCTTCATGGTGGCGTGGTATCCCGGTGGAGCGGTCGCCACGGATCGCGAGGAGGACGGGAGGGGGGTACGCGAGCTGAGCGCGGCCCGCTTCCTGAAGGTGTCTCGGATGCCGCCGATGCCCAAGTGGATGATTTCAAAGATGGTGAGGAGCAGGCAGAGGAAGGACACGACGTACATCACCAGCAGGAAGATGGTCTTCTCTGTGGGGCGGGACACGAAGCAGTCCACGGTGTGCGGGCACGGCGAGCGGGTGCACACGTAGGACGGGATCACCTCGAAGCCGTAGAGGATGTACTGGCCGAAGAGGAAGGCGACCTCGAAAGAAGTGCGCCACATCAGCTGGCACACGTAGACTTTCATCAGGCCGTCACGCAGGATCCGCCGGCGGCCGTCATGCTTTTTCTCCGAGGCTGGAAAATAAAGACACTGGTTAGGATCTGATTCAGAGACAGTATAACAAAACAAAGTGCTCCTTAAACTGCCACCTTACATTTTTCCACTTTCTCAGGCTTGTCTTGTTCAATCTCCTCAGCGATCATGGGGTCTTCCTCCCCGTTGTCCTCCGCCTCCTCGTAGTCCCGGACGGCCCCGCGGCTGACGATGGGCATCCTCTTCTTCTGGGTGCGCACGGGCCGGTACTCGCTGTCGTCCATGCGGGCGATCTTGTGCATGGCGAAGCCCAGGTACATGATGGTGGGCGTGGTGATCAAGATGACCTGGACCCAGCATGTGCACGGTTAACACATCTGACACATTTAGGGTTTTAAACAGAACTTCTATTGAAATGTGATTTGCAGCTCACCTGGAAGATCCAGAATCGCACGTGTGAGAGCGGAGCGAACGCGTCGTAGCACACGTTCTCACACCCGGGCTGCTGCGTGTTGCACACAAATTTACTCTGTTCATCGTAGTAGATGGTCTCGCCTCCGACGGCTGTCAGCACGATGCGGAAGACGATGAGCACCGTCAGCCAGATCTTCCCCACGAAGGTGGAGTGGTTGGAGATCTCATCCAGCAGACGAGTGAGGAAACTCCAACTCATGGTGCCAAGGTGACCGGGGAGCTAAATGAGGTCTGGAAAAAAAAAGAAATTGAGGTAATAAAACAGTTATTCAAATGACCAATTATAGATGTTTTGGCCTATTGCAAACCTCTGCTCACAAACAAAACGTTTACTTTACATTTGACTTGTCAAACAACATTTAACTAGGAAACAACTATAACCAACATTTAAAAAAAATTTTAAACTATTTTTACAGTTTTCAGTCCAAATTATTGATGAAATTAAATCGGACACTTAAGTCTCAAGGCATGACTCAAATAGTCCCCACTGCATTATCAGAAAGTGTTCGCACCACCATGTTGACACATCAACAAAATCATTGAAGAACACAAGGTTAAATGATGCCCTGCGAGTGTTTTAGGTAGACCTCAACCGCTGGGCTGAGGAATAAACAGAGCCACATGCTTTTGTTTAATCAGACACAGATCTCAGACGGGCAGGTATCCATGCGGAAACTAAACAGCAGACATGGGATCAGTGCTGCTGGTCAGAGCCCTGGTAGTGGTTTGGCAAAGCTACATTCTTACAGATCCTTGGCATGCTGAGCTCGAGCTACTTAATCAAACATCAAAGTGTCGACTGGCAAGATGCAGCTAGCCGTGAGGAGAGCTGCAGGAGTTATGATACTAAAGCAGAGCATGGGGAGAGGAATTTATTCTCTGCCACACTGCCAGCCCTTTAAAAAAACCTCAGTTTTATAGAGCTGTGACACGGAGAAAAGAACAATACTGGTCATTTTCAGTAGCCATTACAAGGGATTGCTTTTCGTTTACAGAAAAAGCTTGACTTTTTAACAACAGTGGAATAACACAGCTAAATTAACTCAAGAACCTTCAGCAAAGTGGGTGTTGCAAAGACAATAGCCAGCTTTCATGACTCATTGAAATAGCCTTTACAAGCATACATAGGCATGCCTCCTCAGATTAGTTAAACCTCGCAGGGTTACTCATCCCCTTCCCTTTCTTAGCATCTGAATGTGGCAATTTGGAGAAGGGATTTAGCAACTTGCCTGAGCCTGACCGGAAAAATGTTCTGTCAAAAACATAACCCTCATACGAAAAAAAAAAAGCCTCACCAAAGTTGGCCTGGAACAGACATTGAAAATTACAGGCCTCGACACTTCTCAGATCTAAAAGTAAGTCAGAGGTTTTCTTCATGGAGAACAGACCAGTTAAGCTTTGAGAAAACCGGCACATCCTTGTTATCTCCACAAAAAAAAACATTTGTGTGCCTCCATGTTTCTGTTGTTTCTTGGTGGTGGGAATAGATAATAGTTTGAGGACACAGACAGCTTTATGACCCTGAAATAAAGTGTGTGATGGGAACAAGTACAGCTGTGAGGCAACATCTGTTTTACCCCACCGTACAATTACAACCACCTACAGTACATGGCCTAAGTGTTTCAGTAGCCTACATGACATTTAATGGAAAAAGCACTTTAAAAACACAAAAGAACATGTATTTTCTCATACATGTGGTAAGAAAATTGTCAGTGATAACATTTAAAAGCCCTGCCAGTGAATGACGCAGATTGGCCCTTTAAAAAGCATCCGTTCAACTTTTTTGATTTCCTGTTTTTTCGATGAGATATTCAGCCATCTCCCGTTCAAACTGTGCTGTGAGGACACGACCTGATTCCCCAAACAAATATGTGCTGACCAAAAGCATCTTTTGAAAAATTAGAGGCATTACCGTCATGAATCCTGAGCAGCCTAACCACTAATTGTCGTCTAATATCAGTACAACCAAAAAGCATGCTGAGCTGCCAAAACAAGGCTGACATTTCAAATTTGACCTCTACTTCTGTTGGTGCCATTTTATCAACCTTTTAAACACACTTATCACTGCACTTCAGTCACCTGGAAAATCAACACTTGTGATATAACTTGCCACTGCCAAGATAAAGGTTATACAAGCAGCATTTGGTCCAATATTAAATCAGAATGATGAGCAACTGCAGTCAAAGGGATTGATATTTCTCACAAATAACACGATTTTCTCAAATGACATGACATTTTACAGATATTCACAGTTTGGGCGTTTCATTTCTTACTGTTTGTCTGCTCAGAACAAATGTATATTCAGTCTATTCACCCTAAGAAACTTCCTGTACTTTCAGACTTAATTTATTTAGGCTACAACAGGTGTTCCATACTATGAGTTTGGCCTGTGAAAGGTTTCCAGAGGTGTAGACTTCTTCCACAGAAGCCAGAACAAATCAGATGAAACTCAGACAGCCCTCCTTGTTAACACACTGTTAAATACCAACACTGCTTCTCTTCAAATAAACACACTCAAAGAAAGACAGAAGTCTCCAAAGAACCTATTTGACTTGGACAAACTGGTTTCCTAAATGCAAACATTTCTGCAGTGCCACCCTTCCAAAAAGCTAACCAAAGACAGCTTCTAAACAGTAGCTTATTTGCTCATGTGGGCTAAACCAAGCTCAACTGATTTAATGGCTTTTCTGCTTCAGGAGTCAGGAGGAGATGGAGGGGGTTGGAGAAGTTTTTGGGCAAAGGATCTGGACAAAGCAAAGCGAGCATTCCTGCCTAACCAAAAGCAGAGAGCTGGATTTTTAGGGTTCAGGGAGCAGACAGAGGGCACATGAAATCTCCATGCAGTCTGAGCAGCACATGGAGAACACAGCTCCAACAAATGCTCCTCTTCTGTGGCGTCAACAAATACCACTTTGTGATGTTGCAAGACATCCAGAGGGGGAGAATGCTGGTTTTGCAAATGGGCAGTAAAAAACACGTTTAAAAGGAAGTTTAAAGCACCGCTGCATAACTTGGGAGCCATGAACACGCTTTGCTGAGTCAGACTGACTTGTTTTGGAAATTGTGGCATTCCTGGAGAAAAACAAAGTGCTGCCAAGCTTCAGTGGGCAAACAAAAATCTGAAGATGAAGCCATCATTTCACAGAGTCAGAGACACAGAAGTTTGGAACGTTAACCACAATTAGTCGGAGAATTACTCATAAAAAACAATGCTCTTAGTCGATGGTGTGAGTGTATTTAGCCATCACGATGAAGAAGGTCTTATTCTATGATATTACATGTCGTTTGTTGGAAGTTTATCAACCTGTAAGAAGTTATACAATGTTAAAGGGAAACAAACAGTGGTTTTCAAACAGTTTTACACGTTAATGTGTTCTCCTTTGAGCTTCAAACGGACGAAAATAGCTTCGACTCACCGCTCTCCGGCAAGCGCACACTCCAAAAGTCGTTACGTGGAACTCACTTTGCAAATTCAGACTTGAAAACACAGCAGCGTGATGGCAAAACTAAAAGCAGTTTCAAAAACTTGTAACAAGCAGTTTTAACAAACGTATCGAACAAACTTATCCCGCTACCAAACACCCACCTTTTGCGCTCCGTTCCGCGCGGCTTCTCTCCTTAATTGCTCGACCAGGTTTTCCTAATTAGTGCGCGTTCTCATCGGCGTCTGCGCGCTTCCGCGTCCGAGCCAGTCTTTCAGCAGGAAGCCATTCAGCCCGTGTTGACCCCATGCAGGACAAAGGAAGAGAAGGATCTGTGGTTCCCGCAGGCTCCTGCTCTCCTCCTCCCACACCTCCTCCACCTAACTCGGCCCCATTCAAGAAGAGGAGGCCCCTCGCGTGAAACCTGAGCCCCGGGACACTGACTACCGTTCTGCCCTCCCCACAAAACACTCTCCTATTATACGGTTCATAAAAGGATGATGCAAGTGTCACAGTTTAAACTCAGGGAGAGTATAGGAATTAAATAGATACACAAATAGGCCCTCCTTAAAGTCATTATTAAAAAAAAAATCCAACTAAAATAGCTATTTTGGAAAGTATTGATGAGGCCTATAGTACATACTCAACAATAACTAGACAGCCATGTCAGTTTAACATATTTAACTATATTATTCATTCTTCTTTAATTGAGGTTTGTTATGCACACGCACACACGCGCACACACACTCTGATTTTGATGTATAAAATGAGTGGACTGGCCCTTTTTATCTGCTAAATTCTTGTCTTTATATGCTTAAAACTACACCGAGTGCAACCCCACAATCGAATCATTCCCATTTTTGCAGAGGACCCCGTGCTATCCGGCGGCCCACAGTTTGGCATCCCACTGGCCTAGCTGACTGCAGCTTCAGAGACAGAGTTTAGATGACTCCAAAACAACAGATTTCTTGCTGTCATGCAGCTGAAGTGCTCCCGAGTTACCAGAGGAGCCCAAAGGTTTGTGGGAAGGCCAGATGTCTTCGCCCAGCCAAATCACCATGGCTGAATCCCAGCTTCCTCCTGCTTTCCTCAGGCGTGAACTCATTCACCTGCACCATTTATCCTCACTTATTCACACACAAAAATGATTATTCTCTTGGCATCTCGCAGCCGTTTTTATGTTCACTTGTGGATTCCTGGGGAAATTAGCTTTTCATTTTGGCACTTGCAGTCAAATTAAAAAACACTTGAGTGAAATGTGTCACAATAAGCGCTGAAAAATGACACAAGGATTATGCAATTTATCCAAAATGAAAAAAGGGGTCCCTGTTGAGGCTCAACATTCCTTCCTAACCCCCTGCAGTGCATATATTAATTGCATGAATGACTCACTGGTATGAAGCCCTTTGTTTTTTGCCCCACCTGCACATCCTTGAAAATACAAATGTTGTGTTTTAGTATCAGTCTCGATTGCTTATTTCCTCCTCGACATAAAACTTTGTGACTTAAATTCATGGCGTGCAGGGTTTTATGCCGACTTTCTAGGCTAATTAATTTTACTGTAGTTTAGGCCAAAAACAAAAGGCAACCTGGCAGGAAGGACGAGGTTCTTAAGCATTCACAGAAAATGAACAATTAACACATGGGGAAGAACAATAAAATGTTGAAATGCATGGCGTAATATGGGCATGTGAGAGTGAGGAAAATGATCCCAGATGCCATATCAGAAACATAAAATTGAATTAATGATGTAATATACTACACCATTAACTCACTTTTATGTACCTGCCCTTTTTTGATTTCATGGTAACTACTTTTTAGGGGAGAAAAATGCACTTTGAGGCACTTAGTTAATCTCCAGCTTCCCCCCCAGAAATTCAAATGTTCGTTTCTGCAAAAACCCAATCACAGTTTTCCTTGAAAGTGCCGTGTGGGAGGCTGGTTAAATGTACTTTTTGATTCCAATTCAAACGCTTATTATTGCTGACTTATGTGCTCAACGTAATCCTAAAATCCCATGAAAGGTAGCAGCACAAGAGGTCTTAATCACAAGCTTTTTTTACGCACACTTCCTGTAAATCAGTTGGTTCTTTTAATGTGAAAGTGCTGTGATGTATCAACACTTTTAGAGGTTCAGAAAGTCTATCCGTTATTAGCTCCCAGGATGTTGTTCTGCACCTGATGCAAGAAACAGAAAGAGTAAAAGAGAATTAACCTCACTTATTTTTTCCTCATATGAATGCGAATAACATTACAACTCACTTGTGTGTTTAAACCTGCTCCCAGGTCAGGATCGGGGGGTTTGTCAGCCACGTGGGGGCAATTGAAGGTGATCCAGGTCTCCAACGAGCATATGCACAGCACATGTACAGCACTGGTGGCTAAAGCAATATTTACTCTGTGAAATTGGTTAGCATACCTTTGCACAGCTGAGCCTGGAAGTGTTAAGTGAGCACAAAAAAAAAGAATGCTATGTAACTACATGGCCATAAATTGGATCCAACATCCCTGACGTCTTCTGCAGATTTTTTTGCATTCCTTCACTGGTGCAGCTTTTAACTGCAGCCAGAAATAATGTAGCAATTACCCTGCAGCAGTAAAGCAGAAGTGGCCGAGCAGACAGCAGCTGTGCATGCTATTGTTTTATCACAGTCAAATAAAGGGTTCAAAATGATGTCATTCACAGCTTTCTGTAGGTTGACATTTAACATTCTGTCACCTTTTTTGATTCTTCTTTGCAGTACAGAACATTTGCAACATTAACATATAAACGTAACATATTTTAAGACAATCATTTAGGATTTTTCACATTTCTTGCCTGCTGCTAACGTGAGAAATGTACTAAATGTGAACCTATTCCAGAAAAAGAAACCACACAAATACTACAAACACATTTTTATCCCATTATACACATGATACATCCAATGTATTTTTTATGATGGTATTTGTATAAAAATAAAATACTTTTTGCATCAAACCATAATGAAAAAACAAAGCTAAGAAATTCATAAATAAGTTTAACTGGTTAATCTTTCCGCTCAGTTTTTATATTTACTGTGCATGGTTGTAATATGTACATAGATTACACGTTGCAGTGGTTACATACATAATGCTCAACATTTGAAACACAAGGATTTATACTTAGTAATGAAAATCCACTGCATTTATCAAAACAGAAATGAGGACGATAAACAAAAGAATACAGCTTAATAAAAAAAACATCTGCTCCCAAGTTTTAAAGACAATAACAGCTGTTAATATTATGAGAATATCACAGTATTTCTTATTTTTACCTGACATAACACTATGCTGAGACACATCATGAGACCCTAATTGGGGTGGGAAGGTGTGAGGTGACCTAGATGACACCCTCCTAAAGCTTTCAAAAGCACCCCCAGCCTCGTGTTGAGCGCGTGATTTCCCAAAACGCTGCACCCTAAGTCGGCGAGGAAGGGCTCTGTCTAGATTAATGAAGGGGGGGGGGGGTGGGGATATTTAAAAAGAAAAAAATCCAAACCCAAAGCCCCCAAAACTCAAATCTGCAAGACGCCACAGTGATTTGAAGAACACGAGACACGTTAAGGTGCATTCAGAAACAAGGCACACTCCATTTGAGCTGTGGAAAAGCAGGATGCTATCTGGGGGGGGGATCGGGAATTATGCAACCAGTGCTTTCACAGGCTTGTGTACCACATGAATGAGTGCAATCATTTCCAAGTTGTTGCCTTAAAAGACGGTGAAAGCGTAATGGAAGCAGACTGCGCGGGGAGAGAAAATAAAGACAACCTCGGCTCACGCTCACTAAACATTTCCCCCCCCCACACACACGCACACAGTCGAGCCCTCCCCCCATTATGCTGCTTTGTCTTGCAGGCTTGTGTGCAGTTTTACTCCGAACATGGCCTCCCACTGTGTTCTGACCCAGGCCAGCAGACCCTGCGGGAGCTCAGCGCTATCGGAGCGCACACACCACATCTTCTCCTCTTTCACCGTCTGCAGGAGGAAAACAAAAATCACAGTCATGCATGTGTTTAAAAACGATTCTAATTTGGTCTGAGAGAAGAGTGTTTTCTTGTGTGTTCTGTGCATCTCTCCACCCTTGAATACTCACCTCATCGTAAAGCTTGATATCCATCCGGCACTGATCTGATGGCCACAGGTTGACTGAGCTCACGCAGCTGATGGGCAGCGTTTCTAAAATGTCAACACTCCCGCTGCTGGCTTCATTGTTTTCAGTGTTGTTTGGGTTTTTACACCACTGGTGATCCTCTTGGAGCAGGTACAGGGTTTCCCGGGTGGCCAGGACTGTCAGGGGCATCCAAATGTCTTCTGTAAGAAAGACAATAACATCACTTTTAGGGTATTTTCTATCATAACATGTTTCCTTACCAGTGGAAAGAAAACACATTAAGTTGTATTCCTTACTAACATTGTCTATGTAAGTAGGTAAATGTTTCCTTAATTCACAAAGAGTAAGCATGACATCTTTTGCATATTCAAACATAAAAGTTTTACCGACTAACAAATATTTATGACCTTTCTGCTAGTTTGGGTTTTATATTTCATGTCAGAACGCTCCTGTCTTCAGTAGAGCAGTCGAGGAAGAAGGCAGATCTAGGCATGCTAAATTAAGGCACTTCAAATTCCACAGGCGTGCACAGCTGTGTGTAGCCTGCAGCTACCTTTGCTTCATGAAGCACGGACAGTGAGTTATAATGTGCACTGTTCTGTCACTCATTTCAGTCAAAACAACACTTTAATGCATCGTTTAATGGGGATCAGAAACAGGTGTCTCACATCAGCCCACAAATCACATCCTAATAACATATTTCCCTGAGTTTCTATTTGAAATAAAATCTTTTTTTCGCAAATAACATACTTTCCTGGCTATTATTCTATATTATAGGGTCACATAATCCCTATAATAGTGAGCTAGATGACCAAAATACAACTGAGAAATATCTTGAAAACGACTATAAATCAAGATGACAGGAAAACAAGCAAAGTCAAAGTAATTAGCCTTCCAGAAATCATAACATATGACATGTTACAAGGACGAACAGATCTCAAGACTCAACAAGTGCAAGGCAATTCTCAGTCAGAGGGAGGAATGTCGATGACCTGATATGAGAGAAAAATAGTGAGCTGAAAACGTGATGCAAAATAAAGTTCACAACGTATGTGTTTTGCTGAATAAGTGTCACCTTGCAGAACAAAAGCCAGGATGTAGAAAAACTGCAGCTGCCCATCTTCCATGTCTGCCTGGATGTCTTCACACACCAGAGGCCTGAAAGATCAGAAGAGATCAATAACATTACAATAATAAAACCACTGCCAGTGTTTTCATATATAACAGGGTTGGCGGTGCTGCCATGCTGTCTCAGATGGAAGCACTTGGGCGTCACAGTA